CAGCCCGTTACACCAAGTACCTAGATGTGTGCGTCCGTACATTATACTAAATAATTTACTATAGGCTGTGCTCACCTTATCATGCAGTAATTAATTGTTGTTTGATTTTAAAGTTGGGACTTAATCGTGTATAAAACATATTTTATTTGATTTACTGAGTCTGCTAGTCGGTCCATTCGTGAGACCATGGACGTGGTGCTATATATGGCTATATAAAGCTACACTTTTACTGTGGTACCTTTAACGTGGAGCTATATGGCTATATAATACAGCAACACTTTTACTATGATACCGTTGACATAGGACTATGTAGCTATATACAGTTACACTTTTATTGTGGTACCGTTGACATAGGACTATGTAGCTATATACAGTTACACTTTTATTGTGGTACCATTAACATGGTGCTATAAGATATATACAGTTACTCTTTTACTGTGGTACCATTATCATGGGGCTATATAGCTATATACAGCTACACTTTTATTGTGGTACCATTAACATGGGGCTATGTAGCTATATACAGGTACACTTTATACATATAAATCCCAATTTACTAGTCTACTTACTTCGTATTACCAATTCCTAAATTTAGATAGTTAAATAGATTAAACTCAGCTTACCGAATATTCTCCGACTGTAACCGGATTTTTAACTATAGCAGAATACACTGAAGTTTAATTGGTTGGTAGTTTCTTATGTAAAATATATAGTGTCCTAAAGGACAGATTTCACTGAAAGTAAATTGATATCATTTTTAAACGCTGACAAAAACTATTTTCGTTTCCTAGCCGCCAATCCAATATACTGATATGACATGTTAAGAATTTCGATCTTATATTAATTCAATTCTCCTCATCGAGTATACATATAACCAGAAGTAGAGACGAAATAAGGGCCATCCGTCCCTGGCAACTCTTCAGGTAAATTGGCCTTATATCATTTTTAAAAGTTAACTCTCGTTTGCGCTGAAATCACAAATTAGAAAGCTGAAATAGTACAACGCCAACAAACTGATCTGTGTGTCAGTCTCCGTATATTCAAAAAATATTCTGTATTAATTGTAATAAAGATAATATCTCAAATAATGGGGGGCTGTTCCATTCTGTGGTGTAGGAAAATCAGCAAAACATCTATTTACAAAACAAAAAAAATCACATTTCATCGGTAATTAAATATTAAATATGTAATTTTTCAATTTGCGTCCATTACAGCAAAGCTCGAGTTAAACTGGTCGATTTGAAGTGAAACAATTGACGACATCCGTCAATTGTTACGACTTCGGGCTGGCCAATCGCAGCGCAGTTGTCACCGTAATGATTTGGCAGAATAGTTTTCAAACAAATTAAATGACATTTCGTCTCTATTTCTGGTTATATACTCGATGATTCTCTTCAATCAAAAGAACATAACTGAACATAAAATGCAATAATTAATCCATACTTAACTAGATATTTATTTAATAATTTTAATTGAAGATTAAAGGGTTTCATTGAGGCTTAAAGGGGTCATTGGCGTATCAGCCAAGTTAATGTAAGACCCTTTAAAACGTCCACGGGGCGGTCAAAGGGTTAATAATAATAAAATAATTTGTAGATAGTAAATAATTAAAAAATATATTTTGGTACCAGAGAAATGGGATGGAAGTATATGGAAACTAAATGTAAATGAATTATTTATTCAACAGTTTAATAGTAAAAAGTCTTTAACGTTTCTTTTTGACTAATTCTATTTTAGTGAGTTTATTGGTCTATAGTCTGTCTTTTTTTTAAACCGAGTAAAATGACAGTTCATTGCGCAAAAGTGTTGCCCGCTTGCGAACAGCTAGTGATTGCAGTCGATAAATATTCTATCGACTATCGACTGAATATTGATCACTCTTATGGAATAAATAGTCGAACTTTTTTCATTTGAATCGTCTTCAACCCATTGTTCATCCAATCGCTGAGCACAAGTTCATTTGAATTGTCAATTTTTGAAAGGTATATATACTAAGGAGATAAATTTCTGACCTATACGGAAAAAAGAAATGATCTGACGAAAGAGGAATCTGACGGATGTGTACTAAATCCATATGACAAAAGCGGAATTTGACGAAAGTGTCGTTATTGGTTGTCCACATTCGTTATTCCTGACGAACCTAAACTGAAATCATGAAAAAACTATTTCTGACGAAACTGGAATATGACGTATGTGTGCTAAAGACTGACTGCGAAAAAATCGACTACGCAGTAATAAGTTTGTGTTTGTCTGATAAATAAATAAATAAGTTACTCTCATAGATTTATGGGTACTTATATACTAAATCTATGGTTACACTACACTTGATTTATCATGCTACGTATTGGTAATGTAGTAAGAGAAAAAGTTTTATAGTTGCTAGTTAAGATATATTTGAATAAAAATATTGATTAAACCAAACGTTCTAAATAGATTCAGGCGAATCTGTTAATTACTTAAATATATTTAGTTTTGATTTTTGCTTTTTATTTTTTTTTTCAGAGGGAGGTTTAGCCACTCTGTGTATATATTTGAAATAGATTATTCCGATCTCCGATCATCACAACGTGAAAATGATAATCACAGTTAAAAATAGCCTAATTATTCTAGAAAGTGTCACCAATAATAGAATGTACAATTACATGGTCGATTTTTATTAACCCTGATTGGATGATTTAAAAAAAACAGTTCCCATGGTTTTATTTTTTTAGAACGAAAATTAAATGTAACGTTTATTTAAATACGTTGATTATTTTAACTATATTGTCTGCTTGCCGGTTTATGTACGTATTTTTAAACGATCACTGTCTAGGGGTCGTATTCTAGAACTATACTCAATGCTCACATCAGGATTTGAGTATGATTCAAAGCACTAGAAATCATACTCAAGTCCCTGCCATTAGGATCGTATTTCCAGTGCTTGAAATCATACTCAGATCATGACTTGAGCATTGAGTAGAGTTCTGGAATACGGCCCTTAGTATGCATTTTTAATTTATTTCATTTTGTAAAGTATTTTTTTTAAGATTTTTTTCATTTAGTACGTATAGGGACGAGAGTATGTCAAGCTCCACACTTAAGACGATCCAGATGTCAAGTCCAGGTCATGCAATAAATAAAAAATTCAGATGTCAAGTGTGTGTTTGGTTGTGTGTGCGTGTGTGTGTGTGTGTGAGCGCGCGCGCACGTGTGTGTATGTGCGTGGGAGCGTGCATGCCTGCGTGCGTGTGTGTGTATTCAAATAAATAAAATATCTTTTTATTATTCATTGAAAAAATATTATATTTCATGATTCCGAATGTACTTGACACTTGCGTTCTTATCAGCAAACTATTTTTGTTGTACGACTTTGAAGCAATACATTTTTTTGTTGACGAATCAATACATTGAAAAGTACAGTCTAGAGAAAAATCTTAACACTAAACCGTTTTTATTGCGATCGGTTTAATTTTCAAGCAAGTTTGACATGCCCTTGACCTCGTACAGTGAAGAGCACGTCAAGCTTTATACTTTGGACCGTGCTTATCGTAAGCGACATAGAGTTGGATTTAAGGTCTTAAGTGTCAAGGTTGACTTTACGTACATTTTTTTTAATCAGTGAAGAGAGACAATTTAAGATAGATTCTACGAAGATTATGCGCCGAGGTTGGCAACGAACAGTGGCATATTATGGAGGCAATTTGTGTGCTCTAAACTTATTTCATCAAATCGCAATCCTCACCTCAGTCAAGAATGAGATACATGTGGGACCCATTACTAGTGTTTAATGCGTGCTTACAAATATTAATTATTTATATACAATAGAGTAATTTAATGATTGCATTATAATGTAAGTATATAATATCTATATAGCGTAATTAATTAGTTGAGATTGTTTGTTTTGTGAAATAATTAAAAAAATATGAACGGATATACTTGTATCTTTTTTTTTCTATTTTACCCTGTTTTTAGCAAGGGCTTCTATTAACTTTGCCTTTTTGTGTTGCGTATAGTCAAGATAATACATAATATTGCTTGATAACGCAATTTAAAGTAAAGCTAGCAGCTAAAAATGCTATTGACCTTGTTTAAGCCGTTATTGACATTTAATAAAAGTTAGAGCCATGGAAGTTCGTCATGAAATAAATTGTGGAATTTTCGGTAGGATTAGTTTTAGGCTAAAGTTGAATGTTACATGCCCGTAGTCCTACTGGTAGAACCACGCACCAAAAATATTCCCTTGCATGTGTCAGTGCTTTTGAATATAGGCGCCTAATTACCTGTTGCGCGACCTTGACGTGTGACTTTTCTTTAGGCCATTTTTTCTTTTTGCTTGGATACAAGTACTTTGAGCCAGGTCGTCATTTAACTTAAAGCCATACCGGATGACATACAGCGGTAAAGTGACGTAACGAAAGTATGTGTACTATTTTCCATGCACATGTGTATTAGTTTTCTCCGTCTACGATTAGATGCTAACGTATCTCTAAGGTGTGAGCGCAATGTCAATACCTACTGTGACGTGGTCTTTTATAGTACCTGATTATTTTATTTAGTATGAATTATTACGGGAAAAAGAAGACATGAACCAATACTACAAACAAAGAAAGCAAAAAGATGAGTTTCACCGAAATTAAAAAGACAAAAAATCCTGATAAGTTCCATGATTACTTACGCTAGAACGACTATTGAAACGTTTGATTACATTCTTCCAAATATCCAGCCAAAATTCGAACGCGCATTCATTCACCGCTCGCCTTTGCCATCGAGAAAGCTACAGAAATATAAATAGTGAAGTCATCTGACGACAGTAGTTTGCAGCCGAAATCGACCGAACCGACTGGGTGTGTCGCGTCGCCTTCGGCAATGTGCACTTGACAGTCGCGTGAAAACAAAGCATCAATTTGACAAAAAAAAAAAAATTAGCTGTCAAATCGTCATTTTTGGGCTAAATAGCATACATACAAATGATATTATTGCAATAATTTCTAGTACTTTTTATGCGAAATAATTAAAGAAAAATGTCACAACAACTAGAATTATTAACGGAGAATCCAACGCAATGGATAGCAGTGTCATTTGTTACGCCAGAAATACAGAAAAAGGAAATTAAACCGTTTGTTATTTGTAAGTTTTCCATGCTCCTCTTGAACAATTTATAACGCAATATATAAAGGAAATATATTAAAAATTAATTTTACTTGGTTTATAAAAGACATTACTCTCTTCTGTAGTGGCTTTAAAGGAGCTAGAAGGTACACCAGACAGACGCACATCAAGTCTCATGAGCGCTGACAAGTTTGCCGCTGTCAGGGCTGTCGTTAGGCACGTTGCGAGGCTACGGTCTGAACAAAAAGAAGGCTGGAACCCGGATGATGTTATGACGTTTTTGGAAGGGCTCAGGTAACATAATTAATGGCCTGTAGAAAAGACCTATTCGACCCAAAGAAGATTCGTATTCGTTCCCAATCTAAGACTATACATATCTAGAAAACTCGAACGCACTTCGGACATTAGGTACGATTCACATCTGAGAAAATACAAACATTGCTTGTACATCTATACTGTAGCCAAATTGGATGTAGAATAAATGTCAACAAACAAAAACAAAGGATTTTTAAGGTTTTCATCGCAGACTTCACAGTTACCCCATTCTCAATATTTTCCTGCGAAATTCAACTAGGTTATGGATAATACTAAATCTTGAAGCCATGTTTATAATGAATATTATTCAACAGAAGTTTCAAATCACATAAATTACCAGTGTAGTGCTGGTGCGTAGAAAACTGAGACGCAGACGGAAAGTGCGCAAGGCGTATATTAGATACAAGACAAAACAAAAAGTTATGCAACTAAGCACCCAACAGTGCGTCTCACATGCGTGAAAACGCAAGTTAAGTGCCAAAGCTTAAGTAAGATAGCAGTGAGTAAGGAAAGAACCGAAATGTCTCAATAACTTGAGTGCCGTTCTGTGCCATACAATTAGTATAGCGGTAGTAAACATTTATGGTAAGCATTAACAATACAAAACATATGAGATGACTTATACTATTGGAGTTAACAAAACGATAGCGCGTTTCAGAGTACAACCAATGCCATCTAGCGGTAAATAGGGTTATGTATGTAATTGTAATATAGGGTTAAGTAGGTAATTGGGAAATTTTAAATTCCAATTATGAGAGTAGGCCGTGGGCAGAGCGAGCCTTAATAATGAGCATTGAAAAAAATGTTCTTTTCCAATGCCATTATTGGTTGCCTGGCAACATTTTGTTATTAAATATTCTACATCGAATTTGGCTAGAGTATACAGATAAAGATCCTGTGACATTTTGGATCATCATTTTGTAACCAGCTCACATATATACTCCTGTGTTCTTACCTGTAACCGTTTCGTCACTTCTCTGCATGAAATCCTACCCCTAAAATCCTCCATTCTATTAATATAAACTTTCTCCTAACATTAGTACACTCTCCCTTTGTGTATGTCCTGTGTAAATTTATTAAATAAAAACTATTATTTTCCCTAATAGTCTGTGTAAGTTCTCTGTTCTTGTAGTTTCTCTTCTAAGTAATTTTTGTTGAAATTCACTGGTCAAATCTTGATTAAAAAACGTGTGTGTTCCTTAACTCGACATTGGCAGAATCATCAATGTTATAGATGGAGCTACAACATTATAAAGAAAAAGAGATAGGAATTGGACGTAGTGCACAAATGCTCTTAAGTTGATTATATTATGTCATGTCAATCAGCAAAGCGAAGGATTTCTACATTTGCGGCGTATCTAAAATGCACTTAATTCATCAGGAAGACAGTTAACGTTAGAGTGTGCATTTTGAGTGGAAGCTCTTATTGAGACTTGTAAACACCAAATAAATAGAGATATTAGGAACAACTAAGACATATGAGCATCGAGTATAGTATAACCAGAAACAGAGACAATGTGTCATTTAATTTGTTTGAAAACTATTCTACCAAATTATTACGGTGACAACTGCGCTCTGATTGGCCAGTGCGAATTGGAAACAATTGACAATTGTTTCACTTCAAATCGACCAGTTTAACTTGAGCTTTGCTATAATGGACGAAAATTGAAAAATTACATGTTCAATATTTCATTACCGATGAAATGTGATTTCATTTGTTTGACCCATATCATTGGCCACTTGTATGGCAAAAGTGCTGGACGGTTTGCTTATTCACATATTGACTAAACACCTTAAAATACATGATGCACAGTTTGGGTTCATGTCTGGACTCTCTACAGAGTCTGCGGTGTTATGCCTCAAGCATACTGTCCAGTATTACACGGACCGACGAACACCAGTTTATGCGTGTTTCCTGGACTTGTCCAAGGCCTTCGGTATGGTCTCGTATGACGTGCTTTGGCACAAATTGCGTTGTGGGACAGACCTTCCGCCAGAGGTCATTGGGCTCTTCGAATACTGGTATGGAAACCAGATCAATAATGTTAAGTGGGCTGGTTCTCTGTCGAAGTCGTACAGGTTGAGGTATGGGGTGCGGCAAGGGGGTCTCACGACGCCAAAGCTCTTCAACCTGTACGTGAATGCGCTGATTGAGGAGCTCAGCGGCACTAACGTTGGATGGTCATTGGACGGCGGTACCATGGTCAACAACATAAGTTACGCCGATGATATGGTGCTACTGAGCCCGTCAATTTGTGCCCTCAGAGATCAGATCAGAGGTTATTTGGTATTTGTGAGAACTATGTTGTTGCTCAGGGACTCAGGTATAATGCTAAAAAAGTGCGTTTCTAGTATTTAAGCCGCGGGGTGGAGTAGTGGGCGTTGTACCGCTGGTCTCCTTCTGTGGCTGTGAACTCGTGAGAGCGTTCAAATTTAAATACCTGGGTCACTGGGTGACTGACGATCAGTCCGATCTGGTGGACATTGTAAGAGAGCGGATAGCACGCAGAGCACAGAAAAATGTACGCCTGCACATCAAGCTACACATTGACGTATCTTGTTCCGTTGCACTGGAGGCGATTTTCGAACAAAAATGTTTAGCCTGATGTGCCGTTGTCCGTACATCCATACTGAATCTATCTACTTTCCATTTTCTTTGACATTGATTTTATGACATTTATTAATAAAATAATTAATGTAAATGGAAACAATCAACCTGATTAGCATCATCGTTGTGGAGTTTTATCAAAGTTATATTTTCAAAACAACTGAGCTGCTTCGGCTTAGTCTGTTTCTGGAAGATTTGTAAATGATTCCAGCATGCCGTTGAGGTCATGTCACGACTCGAACATCAGTAATGGATATCAGCATCGACGAATGCGTATGCTGGTGGAAATATTTTAATTTATGCAGATTATTCGCGGATGCAGATGCTGATGCTGGTGCCTTGAATAGAACATAGAAAGTTACATAAAACAACACTGACTATCATACATCCACATACAATTGTTAGGGACACACGGCGTGCTTAATGCATTTAATTTTTATTTTTTTATTTAATTAATTTTTAATTTTATAAAAAGTAATAATGAAATGAACTATTTTTCCGGATTAAAATCGCGTATGTTTGTTTTGTCAAACAAACCAACGTTTCGGGCACTTTACAGGTCCCATGGTCACGGTTTACTGAGGTGGTACAGTCATCAACCAGTTATATTTAATATTAATGCAAACCACCCAATTTTTTCGGAAAAATAGTTTAATTTCCCATGTGCAACAATTGCGAAAACCTAAGTACTCGATAAGTAATAATGAAAATTAAAAAAATATTGTAACGAACAAACTGTATCTTCTAGGTTTTCTCCAGAAAGTGCAACAGAACTCGCAAGTCTTCTCTGTACAGAAAAAATGTATGACAGCATACCTTTACACATGAGGACGAAACCTGGATTAGTCAGTTTGCAGTGGAAGATAGATTTATCTCTCAGGTGAGGTTTCTTTGTACCTACTATAGGACTAGCACGATAGGGCGCGATTGACATAAAGCGCGAGATACTGCTATTCTCGCATAGAAATTAAGTAGCATCCAATGCTACTTAATTTATAAATATATGCCAAAAACATTTTAATGTACCAACACCGAACATAAATGCCGAAAACATTCTAATCTACCACCAACCAACACTTGCATGCCAAAAACGGTAGCAGTGGAGCTCCTTGTGAAAGAGTTCGTCCAGGGAAGTACTGCCATCTTACATATTTATGTCGCCAAGCAGTAATATTAGCATCACTGCGCTCCGGTTTTGAAGGGTAAGGGTGCTGGTGAAATTACAGGCACATGGGACTTGTCAACTTATGTGTTGGGCACACTGACGGACCTCTCGGGTCTTTGCGATTTAAAGCTCTTTGAAGCTTATCATCAGGCGCACGACTTGTTCGTCCGAAACAAATTACTGTCAAATAAGTAATACTCGATTAAAGACGCATGATGCAAATGAAGCTTCATACTTGAGTTTATAAATAAATAAATAAATAAATAAATAACGCACACACTCAACATAGCCCCGCACTAGGGAAACCCTGTGTCGCGGGTGCCATGGACACACACATAGACAACCACAAATTACACCCATACTCACGAGAGAAATAAATGTAGGCCATACAAACATTTCTCCCGGCCCGGGAATCGAACCTGGGACCTCTGCGTGGCAGTCCGGCATGGTAACCGTTCGGCCACGGAGGCAGTTAAATAAATAAATATCTTTTCATATTGGGCGAGTATTACTTATTTGTAAGAGCAGTTGCGCACTACGTCCTATTCGAATTAGGGGGGCTACTCTCGATCCCGTCCGAAACAATTACTGCCAAATAAGTAACATTCGACAAAATTAGAAGACAAGTATCCAGTATGAAGCTTCATTCGCATCACGCGTCTTTTCATTTGGTCAAATATTGCTTATTTGGCAGTAATTGTTTCGGACGGATGTCGGCCTACGGAGCTGAGCCATTACCTTTCGCCTCAGACCTCTATATAAGATTTTTGTACATTATGTTTTTGTATCGTTGTTGAGGCAATAAATCTTTTTATTATTATGATAAATGCAATTCTATGCCGCTTACGATAAGAACGGTCCAAAGTACATACAAGTGTCAAGCTTGATGTGCTCTTGACTATACAAGCTATATTCGTATTTACTCAAATTTGAATCAGACTTATGCTCAGGCCTCTCAGAGGCTGTTTTGAACCCTGCCACACTGAAAAGCGGCGGCCGCGCGTCTGTCACGCTTTTCAGTGTGGCAGGGTTCATATAAACTCGTACATTACAAACATTCCCGCGCCCGGAACGCTTCCGCGGCCGCCTCTGTGTGGCTAGAGCATTAGTACACAAGCGACTTGCGAAGTGGGTCCGAGTTTTCTAGATTCGTATAGTGTTCGATATCACTCTTTATGTGGAGACAGGCTAGTAGTGGAGAAAAACAATAAAAAGGCACCAAATAAACTAAGACACATTTATTCTGCCCTCTTGCAATGTAAGTTTTACAAAGAGTAAAAAGTAATGGCGCACAGGCGGGAAAATTATGACGTTTCGTTTCGTTGTGTTGGTATTTACATAAGTAGCCAACCTAACAATTATTGTTGGAATTGCCAACATATAATCTCGTATTCGGAAATATGAGAACATTAGAATCCGATGTCGTGCACAGACGCGCTAAGTGTTTCGGATTGATGTCGGACGAAGAACGGGAGTAGAACGCCCTGGAACGCAGTAATGTTAATATTCGTGCCCACTAACTCACAAACATTTAATATTCTATATCAGAACATGCAAAGTATGTTTAATAAGAGAGAATTACTTGAAGCTTTCCTATGTGATAAACGCAATAATTATCAAGCACTATGTATGACGGAAACATGGTTGTCGAAAGGCAAAGCCAATCTTGTATGTTTCGAAGAATACCATTTGGCTGCTTCTTTTCATCGGGAAAACCACAAGGGCGGCGGGGTATGCATAATATTAAATGATAATATTGAGTATGTCGAGGTTAAAAAAGTAGCGGAAATGTCAATTGAATACATTATTGAAGTCTGTGCTGTTGAGCTTTTGGATTTTGATACTTTGTTAATGGTTTTGTATTGGAATGGTAGAGAGGAGAATATTTTTTATACACAGTTAAAACTGGTACTTGAGTATATTACTAAAAAATATAACAATAAGAAAATAATAATAGGAGGCGATTTTAATATTAATATATTAGAAAAAAATAAACAATCTTTTGAACTTATAGACCTCATGTTGGAGTCTAACTTTAAACAACATATAAAGGAACCTACTCGAATCACAAAAAGTACGTCCACTTGCTTAGATTTAATATTCACTAACCTCTCGCAAAACTTTATTACTTCTGTTCAGGATTTTGGGTTTTCGGATCATAAGTGCACATCTTTACAACTACAAAATGTCCCAATAAGGAACACAAAGGATGCGGAATTCTGGTATAATACGAAAAGAATATATAATGATAAATTCATAAATAAATTTAAACAGCAATTGCAAAATATAGACTGGAAAAATTATGTTTCCGATAATGAAACTGTAAATACAAATTATAACAGTATAAATAAAATCCTACAGGACGTATTAGAAAGTTGTATTCCACGAAAAAGATTAAAAATTAATACAAAAGCAAATAAAACATGGCTCACTTATGGTATCAAGCAATCTTGTAAACATAAAAGATTACTAAAAATCCATACTACGTGCTCAAAAAATAATATTCTAATTAAACATTACAAACAATATGAAAAACATTTGAAAAAGGCAATCATTATATCCAAGAAGCTCCAATCAGCAAAAAGAATGTATAAATCAAGTAATAAAAATAAATGTATGTGGCAAATCATAAATGACATTAGAAAACAAAATTATAATAAAAGACATGAAAACATTAAATTAAATATAAATAATAATCTAATATTAGACCCAAAACAGGTTTCCAATTTATTAAACGAGCAATTCGCATCAGTTGGTCAGGCGCCCTGTTCCGGAAGCTCAAATGCAGCGCCGCCTCCACGAGGTCGACCTGCCGTGCAACGCAATGAAAACTCAATGTTTCTGAGTCCGGTCGACGAAAGAGAAATAATGTCACTGTTAAGAGGTCTTAAATCAAAATCAAGTTTTGGCATAGATGAGCTACCATCCACTCTGATTAAAAAATGCGCCCCAGAACTGATTCCGATCTTAACTTATATTGTAAACCAATCTTTTACGGAAGGAATTTTTCCCGATCAATTAAAAACCGCTATTATAAAGCCGATTCACAAAAGAAATTCAAGATCTGATCCGAATAATTACCGCCCAATTGCACTATTACCGATTATATCAAAAATCTTTGAGAAGGCGATGTTCAAGCGACTGTACTCCTTTTGTGAAAAATTCAATGTATTCCATGACGCTCAATACGGTTTTAGAAAAAACCGATCGACAACATTGGCCGCATATAAATATATAAATGAGGTCCTGAACATAATAAATAATAAAAAGTATGCGGTGGGAATATTATTTGATATGACCAAAGCGTACGAAAAAGTTAAATTTGATATCCTATTAAATAAGCTTTATGATATAGGAGTACGTGGGGTAGCACATCAGTGGTTTGTTTCCTTTCTCAGTAACCGATCACAATATGTTCAAATAGAATATTGCGAAAAAGAATCACATGTCATTAAAACGATTAGGTCGAAGGTTCAACAAGTGAGAGACTCTATTCCACAGGGTAGCGTTCTTGGCTGCGCCCTTTTTTTAATTTACATAAATGACCTCCCTAAAGCCGTAAATGAGAACTGTGTAATGTTCGCCGATGATTTTTCCCTCCTATTCTCATGTGACAATAACACAAATCTTAATGAAAGATTACTTAACATTATAAACACAATCGTAGAGTGGCTAAACGACCATAATTTAGAAATAAATTTAAAAAAAAGTAAAATTATGCAATTCAGGCCGATACAAAAGAAGCCATTAAAAATAAATGTCGAATATAAACACATAAGATTAGAAAGCGTTTCCAACTTCCCGTTATTAGGTATTAATATTGATTCCAACATTGATTGGAAATCGCATATCCAAAAAATTAAAACTAAATTGTCACAATTTACATACGCTCTACGAGAACTGAAAAAGAGCTCAAACTTAAAAACCGCAATAACTGCATACTATGCCTGCGCGCATGCTTGGTTGAGCTACGGCGTAATACTCTGGGGAAATAGTGTAAATGCCAAAGATCTCTTAATCTCACAGAAAAAATGTATCCGGATTCTCTCAAATATAAATCAACTAGAAAGTTGTAAACCTCATTTCAAAAGCCTCAACATACTAACCTTGCCAGGTATATATATATTAGAAATCTGCAAATTTATAAAAAAATACCCTAATTTGTATAATAAAACAGGAGACGCTCTTCGATACAACATTCATCGACGTAAAAATAACCTCATACAAATGCCATCTAGTTTGAAGCTACATAGTTCTGGAACATACCCTATGTCAATAAAAATCTATAATAGACTACCTGAATATTTAAAGGCTGAACCAAACATAACAAAATTCGTAAAAACTTTGAAAAAAATTTTAATTGCAAAGAGTTATTATGATGTGGACGAGTATTTGCAAGATAAATTGTTATAAGCAATAATTAATATCCGCCTCTCTCCCTTCCATGTTGCGATGCCTGCCAAGGTACAAGTGTATGTTAGTATATAAGTATTTTTATGTAACAACAACACATGTAAAGCACAAATAAATAAATAAATAAATATTATTTCTTGGCAGCAGAACGTCACTGGATTCTTTCAGAAGGGGCTCTACTGCTATTGAAATCACACGTATATACTTACTCCAATGTTTCCCTAAAAATAACTAGAATGTTTTTTTCCAGTCAAGCAAATCTCTCAACGTCACCACAAGATACTAAAGAAGTACTCCACCGTGATACGCACATCATTCTTCTTCTGAAACTAACAGACGGCTCGTCAAGAACTTATAGACTTAGTGTTAGTAAATTTCATGAATTTAGATACGTGATCGCAAGTGCCTTGAAGAATATGATTGTTTTGGAGAAAAGGAAATGCATGAGAAAGGACTGACATCAGTTTTATTCTGGGTAAGCTGTTTATATTTAGTGTAGCAACTCTAAATCTTCGGTGATGAATGCAGGTGCATTTAGCGCCCAATTGTGTCAGTCAACTAACCAATCAGGTGCGTCACTGATAGGATATTATAAAAATAAAATTGTTTATTGAATAACTTATTGTACAAAGGAATAACTAAAGACTAATTAATTATGCGAATCAATGTAAAATATAACACATATACCTGAACTAGAAGAATCCTGTGTTTCAGGTAAAAAGTTCTAATTATACAGTGGATATATGATATATATGAAAAAATCTGAAAATAAACATAAGTTTTGATGATACAATTTTAGGACAGACAATATCTTTCTGTCTTTTGTTGGTGTTTTATATTATATTGTATATGGCTTTCCGTGAACATACAATACGGGAGATACAAGAAGATGTATTAGGCACGTTTTTGTAAAGGTATGCTTTAGATTCGCTTGCAATATCTACAACGTTTCGGTTTTGAAGGGTAGGCGTGCTGGTGATATTACAAGCACATGGTACTTGTCAATTTATGCCTCAGGATGACGGGCGCAGTGGTAGTGACCCTTCGTTTTAAAGCTCTGAGTGGCACTGCAACTGTTATTGACAGGCATGTCGCTTACTGCCACGCCCAAGTATCATAAAAAAACACCCTAAATAACTTAAATATCGTACGCAATATGTTTCCCTCAATGTGATGTTTATGATTTTTTTTGGGTTTGGGGCTAAAAAAAATGAACTCATCTTTCTAACGTATTTTTCAATTTTATCATAATATCAAGTGACGCGACGAAGGAGTCGTGCGCCTGATTGTAAGCTACACGCCAGTCCATAACAATTGTTGTGCCACTCAGAGCTTTAAATCGCAAAGATCTGAGGGGCACTGCCACTGCGCCCGTCACCCTGAGACATAAGTTGACAAGTCCCATGTGCCTGTAATTTCACTAGCACCCTTAGCCTTCAAAACCGGAACACAGTATTGCTCACATTACCTATTGGAAAGGAAAGAAATAGGTGAGGTGGCAGTACTTCCCTGGACGAACTCTTTCACAAGGAGCTCTATAGTTACTAAAACCATTATGTGACCAAGTGCCTGGTTGGTTATTTTCTTATTATTGACATTGGGTGCGAAATTCAGCAGCGTCCATTTCCCAAATTATGTTGCTACACTAATTAACATAAATAATTGACACTAAAGATTCATGAAATTTTAAAAAAACCATTTCGCTCCATTGTGCCCACCGAGTATATAACCAGAAATAGAGAGGAAATGTCATTTAATTTGTTTGAAAACTATTCTGACATTTCATTACTGTGACAACAGCGCTCCGATTGGCTAGCCCGGGTTCGAAACTATTGACGGGTGTCGTCAACTGTTTCACTTAAAATCGACAAGTTAACTTGAGCTTTGCTGTAATGGACGAAAATTTAAAAATTACATATTTAATTACCGATGAAATTTGATTCCTTTTGTTTTGTAACTAGATGTTTTGCTGTTTTTCCCGACACCATCGAATGGAACAGCACACCATTGTTAGAGATATTATCTTTATTACAATAAATACGGAATATTTTTGGAATATACGGAGACGTACACACAGGTCAGTTGTTGGCGCTGTCTATATTTCAGTGCAAAAGAGATTTGATATTTATAAGTGATGTATCACTGATGAATCTATGGCCTTTATTTCGTCTCTATTTCTGGTTATATACTCGATGATTGTGCCACATACAGTCAAGAGCACATCAAGCGTGGCACTTTGGATTGTTCTTAGGCTGCTAAGAGATTGACTCAATCTGTCAGCAGTCTTATCGCAGGCGAAATAGAGTTGAATTTGAATCGTAAGTGGCGCTTTCGACTTTCCACACAAACAGCAATGTGGGCGACCAAAACATGTCTTATCAGTTTACAAAAGTCACAATTGTCATTAGACGTTCATACTAAGGGGGCCTTCAAATTACACGCTTGTAGAAGAGCCCTTAAGGAAATAATCCTAATAAGCAAGATATTAAGGAATCAGAGGTTTCATTTATTTATGAAACAAATTTATTTTTCCCGTGACTTTGGGTGTAATTCATAGTTGCGTGGGATTGCTAGATCTGAACGCATGCATAATTTAAAAATTATAATTCAGGCGATGGGTGAACGTATCTGAATGCGGGAGTGAGTGGGAAGGAATGTGCAAGAGAGAGGGAGGATATGAAAATAAGAGAAGACGAGCGCGCGGTGTTTTTGCTTTATGAATGACCGTAAGATGGGATATGTGAAGTAGCAACAAGAATAAAGCATTATCTTTGACAGTTGTCTATGTTTGTGTCCATGGTACCCGCGACACAGGGGTAACCTAGTGCGGAGTAAACCTTGGTTCTTTAAGTATAACAAAGCATCAAAATCTTGCACCTCCACCATATGTCAATTAATGCTGGGCCACTCCTGCACCCCTGTTCATCTAGCTAAAATTAGGGTAAGGGACAGCTCTCTCTCTCTCTCTCTGTGAATGCGGGTTAGACGAAGGAACCACTGACCACTTTTGTTTTGATCTTCCCATATATATGTATATCCAGCAATAACATAGACTATATTTTGCGTGTACTTTATTTAGCACTCCATCAACTATTATTATTGTATTTATTTAAAAGCCTTCAGGTCTACAACTCCAAAATTCACAATTCACTACGTAAGCTTGTTCTCTCTAACAAAGTACTTCCACAAAATTTGTTGAATATCGTATCCCACTGCACTGGACCCAAGGCACTTGGGAGGAGCTTTGTCCTCCCCCTCCACAAAGTTACCCAGCTTGACATGCCTATTAAAATTATACTAGACAATTACTTAGGAATAATATATTTTTGTAATTTATAAGTAATTCAATGTTAATAATGTTTTAAATTACTGTTATAGATATACATATAAATATTTTTTATAGTAGATATCAATTTGGTGCTAAGCAATTTGAAAATATAAACAATACTCGCGTAAAGTTCACGTTTCAATTAGAGCATAGTGTTTTACAACTGCGGTCTGTATCTACGGTCTGTATGTACCCTACTGGGACAAAGGACGATATCTATGTCTGCACGTTTTCAGGATTATTGTAAGGCAATGTTCAATAGCCAAATGTAGCCACGGCGAGGCAACAGACGCTGGGTTGTTTAAATTAAGAGATCATTCAAATTAACATGAGCTAGTAATTATATTAACATTATACAAAACAACTTTTTACTGGTTTGTGCAGTGATAGGTCAATTTCGAAATCAAGGTGCAGTCGATACCCTAAGGATTAACTCATACTGGCGCAGAGTCGAAGAGTCGCGACGTGTCATGTTTTTCGCGTACGGCATATTCGTCTCTGTTTTCCCATTGAAAAACAGGATGCGATGCGAAGTGTGAGTTGAGCCTAAGATACCAGAACCCCCTAACCGTCTGTTTGATTCTGACTAGATCAGTGTAAAGGAAGGTGTTAAACAAACCTTTAACTATACTTCGTTGCAATCCATTTTGAACAAAAAGTAAACAATCAAGTCACTGACCCGACCATAGACGGTTTAGTGATGGCCAATTGTAACGCCAACTAGCGGTTTTCCTTACATAACCTATTTATGCAGATTTAAAATTTCCATTTAAATCCTCATTCAAATCCTTACACTTAGATACTCGTTCGATTGCGATTTAATAATCGATTAGTAAACTTTAATTGATTGAACCGAATGTTTTTTTTCCTACAGCACTATGCAACCATACGCAAGTCATAGAAGTATAGATGAATAATAACCTCATTTCTAAACTACCATTTTTCAAATACGATTTTACGATGCTATTCAAATGAATATTGTTGGAAAAATTGATAATATATCAAGTCGAAATCTTCGAAATATACGTGAAAGTGTTAGTTATTCGATTTATTGAGTGATTGCTTTAGAATTTTAACCAAACAGGTTTGTTTTCTTTTTGTTCAAAATGGATTGGAACCGACTATTGTTAGCCGTAAAATTCATTTTGGTACGAGTTCCTTATTGCACAATTGTTGAATGACGTTTTAAAAACACTTTAAGCTAATTTATTCTAGAATCACATTAAAGCTTTTCCTTTTCGCTTTTCTATTGAATAGGTAAGAAGGCTCTCAGAACCAAAAAGTTGGCTAGGGGATCATTATCTTTAGGGCTGTGCGTGATAATAAAGCTGTATTGTTGGCCAGTGTCATAATTTTATACTGCATACTTATTTTTGCAGTGTGATAGGTTAGTTTGATTTCAAAACGCATTGCACGTGATAATAAAGCCGTGTGATTGGCCATAGTCATAATTTTATAATCCATTCTTATTATTGCAACGTGATAATAAAGCCGTGCGATTGGCCAGTGTCATAATTTCATACTGCATTCTTATTTTTGCAATGTGATAGGTCACTTTGAATTTCAAAAGGCAAAGCACGTGATAATAAAGCCATGTTATTGGCCAGTGTCAATATTACTTGTGATTATATAAGAATGTTCTTATTCTTGTAATGTGATTGGTTAGTTTGAATTTAGCACTTAATTTGTAGCTTAAATCAAGCGCTTTCTAGCTGCTAGAACAGAAAAATTGTTAATGTCGACGGCGCGCATCAAAACTTTAGATAAGGTGCACAATAACATTCCATTTTAAAAACTTTTTTAACCGGTCTAAAAAGATATCATATCCTCTCTAGGAAATAAGAAGTAAATTATTTACATTATTATGTAGTTGAGAGAATGTTATTTATATTTCAATGTAAATAAATCATTATTGTTCTTAAAATTTAAAGTTTATTTTGAATAATAAAAACTCACAATAATGATTGCAAACGACTTTTATTTTAGAGTAAAAATATATCACAATTTGATAATAGTGGGTTTCAAATAATAATTAAAATGTCGATCCCTGTGGTGGCAACTTCACATGGCCATTTGTATTTGCGGATTTGATATATTTGGCAAACAATCGCCATAGATGGCATACGGGACGAAGTATTTGCCTATGCGACAAATACAGCAAACACGTCAAAGAAGCCAAATACGCAAGTAAATCGTCCATACTATGGCCATATTGTCGGGGATAGTGCAAAACCGCGTAAGTAGTGTAGCTGTAACAAACACATCCGTCGCTCACGGCACGAGTCAAAATGGCTGGTCGCCTGTGGCATCTGGCACTGAGTGCATTGTTATATTGTTGCGTATATTCAAGAATTGCCACCTATTTGCGACCTTTTCTAAATAATTGCTACCTTTGATATATTCTGAGAAATTTAAAAAAATAATCGCTACTTTGTTCACCACGTAAAATTTTCAATTGTTTATCATTTTTGGTAGATAAGCGCATACCTTTAATTCGTGAAAGTAGCAAATAGGTAGCAATTATTGGTAATATATACTTCTGGAAAATCTGCTCTTTTCATACTGAACAAAGTGGCGACCAGCCATTCTGATATCAGAATAGCTGGTCAATTATTTTTATATCAAAGGTAGCAATTGTTTAGAAAAGGTAGCAATTCTTGAATATGTACTCAGTGCCAGACGCCACAGGCGACCAGCCATCCTGACGGTCACGTACTATTTCAGCTTCTAATTTGTGATTTCAGTGTAAGCGAGAGTTGATATTCAAAAGTGATATAAGGCCCATTTGCCTGATGAGTTGCCAGAGACGGATGGCCCTTATTTCGTCTCTATTTCTGGTTATATACTCGATGACTCCGTCCAATCATTTTTTAACTTCTCTCATATGCATGACTCCGAAGTTCCGTAATTATTGACATACAACCGTAGACAAAAAATGCAATACTCCCTTGACTCTTGTTTTTTAATTTTAGTGAAGCGACGTGGTCGTGCGTCGTCGTGGAGTGAAGTTGATAAATTTTGGTACCTGTCCAATAAATTATAATGAAATGAAATAAATTCTTATTGTTTATTATAATGAATCGCCGGATTCTTTTCCATATGAATGGGAATCATCACTTGAATCGTCATTATTATTAAGTCTTGAGTACACAAATTGTCAAACGCAACATCACGATCCCCATCAGACAATATCTTTTTTTTTAACACGCTCACATTCACGATTAAAACTTCATAAATAAAATCGATTGTTATAAAAAATCGAATTGGAAACGCATTAGGACATCACTAATTGATTAGAATTCGAGCTGTCAAAAGTTAATAAATGGTGGACGAAGTGTAATGCCATACTATGCATTAGAAATGTTTCCGATTGATTGTTGAACAATACGTTGTGATCAAAACAATTAGATACCAGAGTATCAAGGTAAGGGACAAACCACGGTTTTCCAGTAGAGCCAAAAATTTTTTTTTATCTGTCTATAATTTTTTACTGTCTGTTCCAATTTTGATTGTATCCAGAGCAAAGTTTCTGAGAATTTCCTCTTCTTTCATCCTATAAACGAAAGATATAGGAATGCTTAGTGGTTTAAAATATAGCATGTCCCTTACATTAAAAAAAAGATGTTTGGTTATGCCTTTATAATAGAATTACGCATAATTTTCTATTTCTCTTACGGCTTACACTGTGCTCGACGGTTTACACATAAAATTATTAGTAACGTAAGGCACAACTAAACATCTTTTTTTAATAATACCAATTGATAGAGCGGGAACATCCAAATCTAATGATATATGCAACTCATTTTCGACAAAATGTCCCTTACGTTAATTGATACTTCTAATATCGAATTATCAGGCACATAATATCATATTTATCAATTCAGTATATGTAATATCCGTATATACGGACTCCATTAATTGATGATGAAGGAATTGTGAAGAAAGGGTATGATGAAGGAATTTTATTTAAACTTGCATTTTGGAGGTTTGCCAAACTCTGCGAAGACATACGAGACCCTATATCTAGTAGTGGAATGTGAAAGCGTTCATGACGACAATTGTGCTCTTGTGTGTTCTGAAAAGAAGAAATAAGGAAGATTATTAAGTATAATAACATTTTCACAACAAGATTTATTATAGTCTGTCTTTTTTAAAATGGCAGTTCTTTGCGCAAAAGTGTCGCCCGCTTGCGAGCAGCTGGTGATTGCAGTAGATAAATATTTTATCGACAATCGACTGGATATTCGTCACGCTTTGGGAATAAATAGCCGACTTTGTTTCATTTGAATCATCCTCATATTATTCATCCAATTACAGAGCACACGTTCATACATACACTGTATTTAGAACTATGTTCATGAAAAATACAAAGACGAGACATATTTTAAAGTTATTCATTATTAATTCAATATAAATGATCAAATCTGCCTGGTCTTGTTAAAATGTATATGAATAAAAAATTATTTCTATAGTAATAATAATAATAGTTCTAGGCAAACTGTCAAAATAATAATGAAGAATGCAATTAATAATCAACAAATTTTACCTTCTATCACAATCTATCGATAAAACTATCGACAACAACTACATAACTATTTAAAATTTTATGAAAACTGGCAGCCCTGAAAACTCGCTTTTCAAAAAAGACAGATTGTATCTAAAGTGACCATAAGAAGCCAAAGTAGCTACTAGGGTTATTGCGAATATTTTTTATCAGCATCCGCATCCGCAGATAATCTGCATAAACTAAAATATCCGCAGTACCGCGTTCGTTGATGCCGATATTCATTGCAGATGTTCGTGACATGACCTAAAAGGCACGTTGGAATAATTTACGAACTTTCCAGAAACCGACTGTAAGCCGAAAAAGCAGCTTAGTTGTTCTTTTTAACCGCTTTCGAAAGGTTCTCAATTTGACTGTAAGATTTGTTTTTTGTATGGATGTTACGCGGTAACATCTTTGTGAGCCGATTTCGATCATTCTTTTTTTGTTGGAAAGAGGGTAGCTCAATTCTATTCTATTTTCTTCAAATTTAAATGGGACCACTACTGAGGTACCTTCTTTCCAACAAAAAAGATTCATCGAAATCAGTAACATACATAGAAAAAAAGAAAAAACTATTAACAATTATTATTTTTCTTTTACTTTTATGTTAAGCCTTGGAATCTTGTGTCATGCAATATAACTCGTTACGTGTATAACCCATGTGTACTTATGTAGTAATTATTATTATTATTTTTGTATCAAGGTTTAATTTGTTTAGTATTGTACATAATAACTATTTATTAATTAATTATTCTTCAGTAGTTTATTAGAAATGCATCACCACTTCTCAGTTTTCTGTAGTAACTAGTGGTTAACAGTATTGGTGACACAATCACTACATATTTACTGTAAAAAAATTACATTTAAGTTTTTATTGTGTCTACTGTTTGTTGACCCAAATAAATAAAAAATAAAAAAATGAAAAAAAAAAAACATACAGACGAATTGAGCACGTTTGGTTTTTTGGAGACTGTTAAAATGTTGTAATTATTTTGCATCTTTTTGACGTGACTTTACTTTTGAGGGAGCGTTATGTAGTTTCTCGCTGACACTCACAAGCTGTCTCGGGGTGTTTAGCAGTCTGATGCGCGCGCAGAGCGTTGTGCTGTGTGAACGCAGCGCCGCACGCGCAGCTGTAAGGGCGTTCGCCGGTATGACTTCGCATGTGAATTGTTAGTACGCTTTTACGCTGTAAAACAACATAAATTAATTATTAGTACGTTTAGTTTTAATACATTACGAAAGCATTTGAAAACCAAATGAAGTGTCAGGCGCTCAGCTGCAAGGTGGTTCGACGACATAGTGCGCGTCGCGGAGCGTCAATGGATACGGTGTGGCTAGCAACAGGACCGTGGTGGATGGCACAAGTGGGTGAAATCAGGCTGTGATGGATGATGGTGTTGATGAAAATTTACTCACGCTAAACGTTCTGTTACACACAATACAGCTCTCCCCGCCCCCCTGCCTTTCTCCGTGCACTCTTCTGATGTGTCCTTTTAACGATTCTCTACTGCTATACAGCCTGCCGCATATATCACAGGAATAGCATTTTGGTTGCCCATGTATTGTCGTTAGGTGACCGGAGAGAGAGGCTGCAGAGACAAATTTCTCCGTGCATTGTGGGCATTCGTGACTGGAAAAATATATAGTTCAATGTTATCTCTTTTTTATATACTTCATTTCAATTCATTTTAAACAAAAAGTAAAACAAACAAGTCACTGACTCGACCATAGACGGATTAGTGATGGCCAATTTTATTGCCAACCACAAATCAATTAATTAATTGAACGAATCGATTTGTTTATTTTATTTTATTTTAATATTTTTGGAATATTTACAGCAAATTTTTAATAAATAAATATCCGAAATCTTAATTTTAAATCCTCGTTCAAATCCTTATACTTAGATATTCGTTCGATTGCGATAGAAATTTTCGATTTCAGTAATTTTCAGGTAAGTTTTTGTACTCAATTTTGGTGATAATTTTTATTATTTAATTACTCAAATATATCATCGTGATATATTAAAGAATATTTCAGGTTACCACACTCAAATATTAAATAATACTTCGTGACGATATTCTATAAATATTGAAATAAAATAAAAATGTCACCAAAATTGAGTAGAAAAAACTTACCTGAAAATTACCCAATTTACGAATCAATTACAAAAACTTTAATTGAATGAACTTATTGTTTTTTCCGTACATCACTATGCAACCATAGACTATTCATACAGCTTTAATTAAAAAATAACCTCACGTTTTCACGCCTAAACCGCTTGACCAATTTTGATAAATTTTGGAATAGAGATAGATGGGACCTTAAATAATAATTCTCTTTTTTTTATGACATGACATATTAACTCATCCGAAGATCAGAGTCCAATGTGATTATATAGCGAAAATAGAATAAGTACGTTACGAGAACAATTTCGTTATTCAAATTAAGGCCTATGTAAAGGTGTTTTGAGAATTTGTATGTCGAGCGAAGAGGAACGAACGAAATGTACTATGTCCTGAGAACAAGTAGTCTTGCACATAGATCTTTGTTCTACGGATGAGTTAGGTTTTATGCTTTTATAATCATTGACATTTACTATTATTCAACTGCTTCCGACATAACTTAGTTTTTATCACGTTTTTGACATAATAATATTGTCATAATTTACGAACGTTTATTTTTTAGGATTATTTTTATTTATTTGTTAGGATTTTTTTTTTGTGTTGATCTTTTATTTTCTTTAAACATTATTTTATCCAATTTTGAGCATAAATTAATTAATTGTATGATAAATTAAATTGTATTGATATATTTATGCTTTTTAATGTTAATTATTGTAATCTAAATTTTTATATTGGTTTCATAATTGTAATAATTAACAGTGATGAGCGTGAAAATTGTTGTTAGTAAAGCCTGCACAAAACAAAAAACACTTTCCTGAAGAAAAAGTGGCGCCTTGGCAACACTTAAACACAATTTATTAGCACACAAGGTACTAGTATACTTCATTTCAATGGTTAAATTATTCTACACATAAAATTTAGCACAAAATGTAGCGTTTGATAAAACGTGGAAAATTTTATACAAACCGGTGAAAATCGGGTTATAATCAGTGGCAAGGCATCCTTGCCACTGATATTTATTAATGACATAGCTTGTATACGAGATTAATAATTAGTGATAATAATCATGGTAGTGCCCTTACAGGGTTCATGTGCTGGAATACTATTATGTAACACCCTATTAATCCACATGAAACAATTAATAAATGAATTATGAAACCTAGGAGAAGGACATAGGTTACTTTTTGTCACAAAAATAATTCTTAAAGGGGGTGAAATAGGGGATGAAAGTTTATATGGAGGACCAATCATTTCCAAGTAAGTAGTACGTGTAGGCTACGCGTTGCGGGCACCGGCTAGGATAAAAATATAGAAATTATATATAACGTAGAAATTTAAATATAAGCTTACGTATAGGAAGAAGAATCACGATGTTTTTTTGCTTTTTTAAAGTGCAGCCTCAAATTGTCCTGAAAATGAAAATGGTATGTATCTTACACGTTTTAATTTTGTCTAAGTGTTCCAAAAAACACATTGAAAGTAACTCATGATGGAATTTTAGTTGAAGTAGCTCCTCGTAAAAGAGTGTGTTGAGGGAAGTAATGCCACATTGCATATTTCTGCCGCCAAGCAGAGATGTGACAATTACTGCTTTCCAGTTTCGAAGGGTAAGGGTGCTGGTGAAGTTACAGGCACATGGGGATTGTCAACTTATGTTTCAGAGTGACGGGAGAAATGACAGTGCCTACTACATTCTGTATGTAACCAGAAATAGAGACGAAATAAGGGCCGTCCATCCCTGGCAACTCATCAGGCAATTGGGCCTTATGTCACTTTTAAATATCAACTCTCGTTTGCGCTGATATCACAAATTAGAAAACTGAAATAGTACAGCGCCAACTACTGACCTATGTGTACGTATCCGTATATTAAAAAAATATTCTGTATTTATTGTAATAAAGGTAATATTTCTAGCAATGGGAGGCTGTTCTATTCGGTGGTGTGAGAAAAACAGCAAAACGTCTAATTACAAAACCAACGGAATCACATTTCAACGGTAATTAAATATTAAATATGTAATTTTTTTCGTCCAAAGCTCAAGTTAAACTGGTCGATTTGAAGTGAAACAATTGACGACACCGGGCTGGCCAATCGGAGCGCAGTTGTCACCGTAGTGATTTGGCAGAATAGTTTCAAACAAATTAAATGACATTTCGTCCTATTTCTGGTTATATACTCAACGTCGTACTATGATGGACAGGCGTGTCCCTTACCACTACACACACGACCTGTTCGTCACTTGATAACCTTAAAAGTTCCTGATAATGCTGCAAGTTGGTTAGTAGGCTTTGACCCCAATAAAAATGGAAGTAAGTTAATTTGCTACTCCGCGAACCCAGTGAAGGTTAATCCGTGCAAAATAGCTGCGCTTGTGTTGAATATTTTTTCATGCGGTTAATTATTCCACCCTCCCTCCGCATAAAATTAATAAATTAAATAACACAAGCGCAACTATAGTCCTAAACCACCACCAAAAATATACCCAAACCCAAAGGGTATAATGCCTGAATCTATTAATTACTTTGACCCTAACGTCTTACCGGCGATTTAAACCTGACATCACACTCGACGCAGTAATAATCAGCTCTCTCGTGCACGTTTTGCACGTGCTTCGCTAGCAGCGAGGGGTATATGAACCGGCGAGGGCATTTGCTACATTGCAGAGATTTTGTTTTGTCGTGGCGGCTGAAATAATAAATACAACCATTTCTTAGCGGTAAGAGCGTATTTAACACATCGACATCGGACTTTCGAATCCACGGCTCTGTTTGACAAGCGGTGAAACCATTAAGCTACCTCGGCTTATTATTTTTTGACCGACTTTCAAAAAAAGGAGGAGGTTCTCAATTCGACTGTTTTTTGTGTGTCAGTTACGCGATTACTCCGCACGACTTGTTCGTCCCGTCACCTGATATTATAAAAAAAAATATTTGTGAACCGATTTTATTGATTCTTTTTTGTTGGAAAGGGGATACCTCGGAAGTGGTCCCGTTAAAATTTAAAGATAATGCTCCACTTCCAAGGATAGAAAATTAGAAATAGAAATCATTTATTGCAACGCCACATTATAAAAAAACACAAAAACTAATGTAACTAGAACAGAAATAACACATAAAACAGCGTTAAAACGTTTAAACAACAAGTTACTTAATACTAAAGTCCGACCGAAACTGGTTTTCCGGCCGAAACCGAAACCGAAACCGAATGTTCGGCCGTGACTTCAGTTTCGGCCGAAACCGAAACTCACGTGGTCAAGTATAAAATACCTTTATATACTGAATTTTGGTGGATTTTACCCATTATTCTACAATAATTACAAGAAATGAAAGCACTGTATATTTTGTTGTAATCATTTATTCACTAACTGGTACTGTTTCATTAAATACTAAGTATTGGTATTTGAGATCTTACTAAATAATACGTAGCTATCCGAACGCCGCACGACAATTCATGAACATGGTGGGGGCCGCCAAGGTTCGCCATAGCGTTGCCGCGAGAAACGAAGTTAGGCGAGCGCGCACGACAACTTCCGAAATGAGTGTCGGTTTCGGCAAAAGTTTCGGCCAATTTTGGCCGAAACCGAAACTGCGGCCGAAACTTGATTTTTTGGCCGAAACTGGCCGAAACCGAAACCGAAACCGAAAGTTCGGTCGGACTCTTAATACTATACTAACAGTGTGCGGCTGTGGCGTGTCTAACTAAAGTCACAACCAAGACTAGAGTGACGCAGGTTTTCAATGGACCCTAGCCGAGTGCGTGATAGTGACGGACGTATCCGTCCCAAAACAGAAAATAAAATACACTACGTAAATACTTAACATTTGCAATATATGTATACATATAGTTATAAGTGTGTGATGTGTGAAAACAAATTAATAATATTTAATACATATTTAAAATACATTACTCCAAAAATGTTTCTCCCATGGCTGCAGGTTGTTGCAATTATTTGCAATGCAAAGCTTTCATAATAAACTATACGTTTATTTTTGTAAAAGTTTATTAGGGTGTACTTGCAACAATTAACTTGCCTTCCAGCTTTCGCAAATCTGTCTTTCATTCGCGGAAATTAACTATCGCGCATTTACGCTTTCGCGCAACTGACCACACGCGCAAATGGACTATCGCGCATTTAAGAGGGAGCATGCCAAAAAAGTTTTGACGTTGGCTCCGCCCAAATTTGTGAAACAAATATATGCCTGAAGTTCGCGTGACATGCGACAGCAGATGTTGAATTTTGCGCATTAAAAGTACCAAATTCGTTTTAGCGGAATAACTCTAAAACTAAAGGGATTTAAAAAAATCCGTAGTGACAGTTCTCGATCATGCATAAATATAATTAATTATCTAATTTTTGTCCTAATAACCTGTAGCATTTCGAGGATAAATCGAAAAAATGTGAAAATTAGAGGTCATTTCGTGATTTTTATCTATCGAGGAGACTTTATTGTTTTATGTTTCTGATTAATGTCTATGCTTGAATATATCGTGTAATTACTCATACAATATTTTATTTTTAATTTTAAAGTGGATATACCCCTCTAAAATCAAATCGAAGATTAGGAATTTTTCCTCTGCTCCCTCTTAAGCTTTCGCGCAACCGTCTTCGCACTATCGTCATTCGCGTAATCGGCATTCGCACTCACGTAGCACACCCCTTCCATGGAGCCATAACATTTAGAAGAAAAAGAAGAAGTAATCTGTGGTATAAGTAACAAAATTTGCATTAATAGTTTAATAAGAATTGTAAGACACTTACGTAGTATGTACCCTGAGCGATTCAATGTTCTGGAATAATCTTCCGCATTCGTGACAGGCGTGCCTTTCATTCCTTTTGTGCGTTTTCACGTGGCGTTGAATAACTGTGCGTTTGCTGAAAACGTGTATAAAGGGCACCGTTAACTAGTGGAAATGTTTGCCAACATATTCGAACGGAGAATGTTATACACAGGGTTACTTGGGAAACATAACAATATAAAAAAAAAACTAAAAATGGATGTGTAATATGCACGGAAGAAAGAAAACAATGGAAGGGCCTTAAGCCTCTATTACTGTTATAAACGATGTCGCCAAAACTCACACATTCTTAATTTGAAACACTACAATATCTTGATGTTGATTGGTCGTAGTTTCAAATTGAAAAAGAAATAACGTTTATTCTGGATTGTGTAATATAATTTAAACTTTACCCTGTTGGCATATCATTGAATGTTCAGTACCATCAATACCTATTATTATAAGTCACGACGTTTTGACATTACATTGAAATTTCAATCAATGTGCTGCCATCTAGCGGTTCATTGCTGAACGACGACGAATTGAAGTTATTAATTTAGTTCTCCACACAGCGACCGTATTGAAAGGGTTACTTTCGTTTCTTGTATCGAAATTATTATTTTGATAAACAGAAAATTGAAAATTTATTAAAAATTTCCGATGATATGAAATACCACAAAGGGTAATATTTTTGGTGCGGCTATCATTCTTGCACTCCAAAACAGCACAATAAGGCATTTTATAGAGAATTTGCACGAAAGAATGACACAACCATACCATACAAAGCGAAAATGGCGGACTGAGCTCAGATTGGTCTTTCGAGACCTTTAGTTGGCACGCGTACGACGCTAACTAACCACTTCTACTGTATTTATTGTTCGGTGATAATATGTCTGATGTAGATGTATGGTTGATGTGTTAGTATCACAGTAGAGCTCCTTGTTAAAGAGCTTGTCCAGAGAAGTACTGCTACCAAACCTATTTCTGCCTTACACTCACAGTAAATTCACTAGCACCCTTATAATACCCATACTACCATAGCCTTCAAATAGCATACATTTATACTCTATGCGGATGACCTTTCCATACTAGTGTAATGGCGCTGCTGGTGGCGTTCTGTAGACTGTAAAATAGCCTGGATAGCAGTAATATAGCCTGGTCCAAGGGTAGCAGTTGAAAAGATGAAAGTCCGGTTTATAGGAATTTATTCAGTAAAACAACAATATTAATATCTTAAAATGTGAACGGTTCAAAAATAAGAAAGTAGATGTTTTCGCTACCGCGATCGCGCAGAGAGTCTCAGAGAGAGAATCAGAATGCGAGGGAAAGAATGGAACGATTCAAAATTTAAATATGAGTAGAAGAAGAAAAGGCGATACGATACGAATGGAGAGAGGCGATACAAAAAGGTGGGATGACGGTGTAAGGAGGTCACACCGTCACACTAGTTCCCAACGTTAACAGAGAACTTCATAATCTAGAGTTAAACAAAACTGTTGCTGGTGTCATTGATTGGTTAAGATTGAACAATTTGAATGTTAATATAAGT